TACCTGGATCTTCACTGAGCAGCACAATGTTATCTGTATACCATAGATCAGATAGTCTGCCACCCGGAAGTAAATCGATGCCACTATTCGTGCATGAGGTTACGGTTGTTTCAAGAATTCAATCTATGACATCTATGAACAACATCACTTTCCGCATTGAACTCGGGTAAACATGTGCAGCTAGCTCGGGCCCGACTTCGGCTATTGTTGTAGAGGGATTGTAATATTGAAATAGACTTTACGCGCACACTGTTCTGGGAAAAGCAGAGCCAAAATATGTAGCGATCCACTGTAGTCGAAAACCGTGTTCAGATCGAGGAAGATGGAAATGCCAGGTCGCAAACAAGTGTATGTATGTGTTCTAGAATTTGACTACACAACCCCGACCAGGTCTAAAACTAGCCCGGTTCTCACGTTTGCAATCTTCACGTGCGACAGACAACCGACGGAGTCTGATACCAGCGAGAATTTTAGAGACGGTGTTGATTAAATTATTCTCCCTGTGATTTTCACAGGAGGAGGATCTGTCGTCCTTCTTGCAAATCGGTATAATGACTGATTGATACCACTCAGTTGGAACCTCCTCCGTGTCCCACAATGAACCCAGGAGTTTCTTGAACTCCAAAACGAAGGCTGGACCTCAGTCCTTAAAAAGGATGGGGAGCGCCCTTCGGGGCCGGAATCATATACCTTTTGAGATAGCTTATTTCTCGGGAACCCTCTTTTTCAGATGGAGCACTGATGTCAATTGGCGGCAGTTTAAGCTAGTTAAGGGGAGGTCATTGGTATCGTTATGCGACCCCATTCCCACATAATTTCCATTTCATTTCGGGGCTTTTAGTTCAATCACCCTCGGGTGTATGTGAAAGAGTCTAGCGAAGATGGTGAGTGATCTTTGTGAGGCGTAGCTGTTAGCCTACTCTCAGCAGCCATAGGTTGGTCGCGCCATGTGTACGCCTAGCGCGGCCCACTTCCGTTGGCTACTGAGTCATTATCACTTTTTTCACTCGTTGCTGGCCTTGGTAATCCTAGCATGATTTGCCGGACGTGTACCGACTACATACTGCAGTATGTGAGGATCAAGCATGTATGTCAGTATCCAAAACCCAATCTCTATGTTAACGATTCGATTGTCCGATCAGTTGCATGTTTTATCGTAGTAATATGGTACTCGGACTGCAAATATATGGTTTTTACATGGTAATGATGACTGTGTGCCCCTTTTATGCGCGCTCGAAATTGATGAGAAAACTTCTCAAGGACAGACCTGCGTAGTGCGGCTTAATGGATTCACCGGACTTTTTGTCGTAGATTGGTCTCGGCTACCAGATTTGAGCGTGGGAAGAAATCGAGCCCTTTGTCTGAATTTACTAAAAGACATGACTCTTATTCACGCTCAACATTTGGGTTGTCGTGAATCCCGTCAAAATCTAATGTTAAGGAAACAATAAGTCTGTAACACAGATTTACGGTCCTTGGACTCTTTAGTTCACACTTTGTTTCCAAGGCTTTCTAGAATCGCCTGCGGCTTATCCAGATCTTCGCTCAGCGGTACATAATTGTGCATATATTCTAACAGAACTCTTAAAGGAATTTCTACGATCATATTCCTTGAGGTTGAAAAGTTAAAATGCGAATGACATAGTGAATGGAGACGTGATTCAGGCAACCTCACCTGTCTCTCACGTTCACCCATCCATGTTGAACAGCACAATATGCAGTAAAACTTCTTACCGATAGATAATATTAGCGGTGATATTTCAACCCTTGCCCTCGGCAATTGGTGTGCTGAGGATCCGTAAATTGAACTGTTTTCTTCTCTAAGTGGGTGATATGTGATGTGATCCAACCGTTTACCTTACTGGTGCGTAGTATCGTTTTCTTACCTGTTCCGGTTAACGTGTTGTATGGTTCATAGTGGTCCTAGCATTGTACCGAGGGCAGTTTATGCTTTTCACAGGAGGTTCCATCAGAGTGTGTGCTTGTGTGTGTGTGCTGCATCGCACTGCTCTTTTCTGTTCCGCGTGTTACCCTGTGTTTAGTGTGTTGTACCGACTCAGTCCCAATTCGTATCCGCAGCTAATCTTTGCTTTGATCATACATGATCATTCACAAAAGGATACTTCAGCAAGCCGCATTGATCTTGCACATAGGCGTGCATTGATACACTATCAGTGTGCCTGTTAAAGAAAGAGAGTTCTCGTGCGTCACTAGGTCGCAACCGCTCACCCTACGTAGACTGGATCCAAGCAATGAGCTGTTTCGTTCGCCTTCCAGTAGCCAAACGGTAGCAACCATTGCAAATGCTCGGGGATGCAAAGCTGATGACTGTAGAAATGGAACATTGAAATTGGCCATAAGGTTCAGTTTTAAACAATGTAACAACCAATGTACTATCGATCGGAATCAAGAAGTCTGTCGAAGACATTGTTACTAGAAATAGTTCATACCCGCCCGTCGTGATGCGTGCTCACTTTCGTGTTCAGTTTGTTTTTAACCACACGGGTGCCTGTATGAATCACCGCATAAGGTTTGCTGAAAACGATATCTTATGGGTCCACTTCCGAGGCAATGACCATTCCAGTTGAATTCCCCTTCCAAGGGCTGTACGGGAGCCTAGCAATTATATCATTCTTGATTTAAACACTGCTTTTGGCTTAGCTGTTTGTGCAGTTCTTCGACTGGGTTATTTCTCTTGCTAATCTTTGTATTCTAATCACACAAACGGACTTTCTGTATGTGGTGTTCCCCCCCCCCCCNAACTCCCATTTTGTGTGTGCGCTTAATCCAACTGTCCTCAAACAGTTTGTGAGCAGTGACATTGACATACTCTCCATTAGATCAGAAGCTTTTCATCTTTGAATTGCCAGTCTGATTGGATACAGTTAAGTTGGTAGTCTGTGAGGCATCTTTTATTCGATAAACTTCTTGCACCATGAGAGTACCAACTGTCATTGCCGGACTGGTTTGGTCCATTTTTTCAACAACACGTGATGTAGACGTGTTTGATTGTCCTTATAAACTCATCACTCACGGTACTCTGCTGTTCACTCCCTTTGTTTTCTGTTCAATTAACTGTTAGACAGCTACCATTGGCTTTCTGGGAATTGCAACGGAAACACATCCAGTGTCTATCTCAGCTTTTCCAATCTCAACTTCATCTATCCTTTTACCAGTGGTGTCACTTCCGGGTTCCCTATTGTACGTTTATTTTCACACTGCGTTGAACAAAATTGCCTCTCAATTTTTGAGGTCCCTCCATTAGCTTCACGTGTTGCCCATGTTTCTTCTAGTCTTCATTTGTTCTCTTTCTCCTAATTCTACCCCGTCACGGTGTTGTGTGTTCCAATAACTCGCTTGGAAGTCAATAGTTAGTCTCCAGCTATCGTTTGTTGAACTTTATGATTCGACTGGGGACAATATATATAGATCTGTCGTTTGAAAATTATTCTATAGTTGTTTGCCTTGGAACACTAAAAACGATATTGACGATCCGCTAACAGGCAATTTTGTCCTCTTGATGAACAATACCAGTTTGTACACCACAACCGTACTCTTTCTCTGTTTGCGCGCGCGCGCGCTCGTTTGTGTGGGCGTTAGTTTCCAAATTCCAAACTATTCTTCTTTTCCCAGCAATTTCAAAAATAATGTCTAATAATAGTACAGATCAGTGAAGTTCACATTCTTATTCGCGATGCTAACTAATTATGTCAGTCCTGCTAATGTGCTATTTTTCGTTATTCTCTCAAAAAAATGCAAGCACTACGCCCGTAATGCACTTTAAAGCTCTCACTTAGCGGGAGACTATCAGCAACGTGTGCCAGATTTTCACAATCGATTGTTTGACTTCATACTTCATGTGTTTCTCACATTTCTGTCTTTTTCTGAGTTCAAGCACACTGATTTTGTATTGTGTGATCTATCTGATTACGGAGTTTATTTGGAAAAGATTGTAATCTGGAATCGACATCCGTCTATCAGAAGTAGTTTACTACCTGTGTGTGTGTATGTGCGCTTGATTACCTTTTTTGGTAAGTTGCATGCGAGAAGATTTTGTAGCTTGGTCTGTTCTATCGGATCACCTTCACGTCAGCACCATCGTGCGTCAAGAAGTTGGGTGTGAAAATCATCGTCAATTGCTATCTTACGGCAACACATGTTAAAGATCAGCATGCCGGTCGCTCTGGGCCTGGGGGTGGCGGTCGGACCTACAGATCAGGTGTTTGCGTGTTTGAGAAATGTGTACAACACAAACTGTTCTCTGTGAGATGGGAATAATACTTACTACCTGATCATTCAGATAATCGAACCCTTGTCCCGGGTTGGAGGACCGCACCGTTGAAGTTTATTTTCATTCCGTTTCTAGCTGTTTCCAGTTTTGTGCATTCCCCTTAAAATCTTTCAGTTTGTTTTACACGGAATCACGTGTGGTCCGATTTCGTCATTCACGAACAGATTGGATGAGTTGAACAACTGTCCCGATATTTCACGTAATCTCATGATGAAGCGTGATTTGGGAACAAATCTTTAGTGAGACATTTGATGACAAGTCAGTTGTGTCCTCATCTATTCACGATCTATCACGAACAATCTGGTCACGGGATGTGCACGTTTTTGTTCACTTCGTTGTGACCCTTTTTGATCTACTTTGGCCCACTTCTCATTTGAACTAAATCGATTTTGTATTCAGTCGCTGTTTTTTTCGGTACACTCACCAGACTTCATTGAGCACTGATCGACTGACTACTCGGTTCCGGGTCTTCCTATGCCTTGTCTGATAGCTCTCCTTTGACTTCTTTTTCTCGAGGCAGTTTTAGCAGCCGTTTTCCCTCAACTTGTTTTTGGACGGACTTACACTTATTTCATAAGCATCATACGACCCGATTGCAATCATCCTTTGTCTTTCTTGTGTTCCCATGCTTTTTCCGACCCCCTCATGCCCATTCCCGCATCTGCCTCTCATTGTTCTACTTTTACTCCCCGGTTTAACGCACTCATAGTTGAAAAATGATCAGGCCACCCGTGCGAACGAGCAGATTGCGGTGCTGAAAGATGAACTGTTTAGCATCAAATTGCGTGAAACGGAAGCGCTTGAACGATTGGAAGATCTACGCAAACGCTTGGAAGAGATTGACTTGCTATGGCAGGTAAGCGTTTTCTATATTCTCCCTCCCTCCCTCCCTCCCTCCAATCCATCATCC